GGGAAAGAGAAAATCCTTCATCCTATTGCCAATCTTTGACACATCCAATTTCTTAGGATAATACATTAAAGAAAAACAAATATAACAAAATCTCTGCCAACTCTGTCTGTGAATTCATATTATATTAAAAGTAGAATAAAGGATTAGAACACTAAAATAAAAAAGAGGTACAATCTGAACAGACCCCATATAGTCTGTAGGTTTAAAATGAAATCTGTTTTTTTCTTGTTTACTTGCTCCTGAGATGAAAGCCTCTGTGTAGGGATTAAGAAAGATTTATATAAAAAAAAGCTGAAGCTGACTGTTTTGAATGGAAAACTAAAATAGGCAGCCAAATAATTCTAGTAAAAAAGGACAAGATCTATGGCTCTGTCTCTATATGTGGCTGACAATAGGTTGTCAACCTTGCATTAAATTTGATACAGCAAGCAAAAGACAGGGGTAATAAGTAGGGGGTACAGTGTTATACAAAGAATAGACAAAAATAGACTTCTTATTTTAAAGTGTATATAACCAGCAGATGCTATCATTTTGAAGGACTAATCAAATAATATTAAAAATAACTATCAACCAGTTTCTTTAAAAAAAAGCATGAGTTAGGTTTATGGAGTCATGTCATTCACTGATCACACCTATTCTGTTTGCCTTCATATGCATTTGAAAATGTTTGAAAATTCTGAATGTTTCATGACTTGGGACATAGAATGCTATGAATAATCATGATGAAGGTATGTTGCCTGCTGTCCTGATTAACATCTAGAAATTCAAACAAAGCTTTCTGAGTTAGGTGAAAAATAGCACACAAAAGGAATTGAATAGATAAATTTGAACCATTTATGATTATCCAGCTGTCTAACACTTGATCACACTTACTACTTCTGGGCTAAACTGGAACATGATGAACATATATCCCAAGATGAACACAAACCCCACTGCTATCTGTACTAGTTTTATATGATAGAGTAAATAACATTGGGCACATCTACATGAGATGCTTAATGTGCAGTAGACTAATTCTAATGCATATTAGCATGCATGGCAAAAAAGTGCTAATATGCTAATACACAGTAGTATTAGTCTACTGCACATTAAGTGTCATACAAAAAGCATGTGATTGCACTAAAGCTCAGTATGACAGCCTACTGTGCAATTATTTAGTGCTTGATTATACAAGTACTAAATTTAATGTGAAGTAGGCACTGCACATGACTGAATGTATAGATGTGCCCACTGAGAAAAGATGGGCATGGAGCTATCCTGGAGTAGTTGTATGTGATAGCAGATCATGGTGCATCTTGTCGGTAAGTGGCAAAGGTGCAGGTAAAAGCTTTTTTGCCTCTGCCAAGTGGTGCCCGGGATGAACATGGACAGATGACATTTAAATCACCAGAAATTAGGCTGGTGGAGTTTTAACTTTGATTCTTTCAAGGGTAATTCTACATCAAATTGAGTGAAATTGTTGTAGTTTAGGGCTCATTATAATCTGTTTGCTACTTTTGTACACTGGTGTAATGTGTTATACCAGTGTAAACTTGTCTGCCTGGAGAGTTCAGGGACAGTGAAGTGCCAGAAAGGAATTGTGATTCATTTTTCTTCTGATTCCACTAGTCACAATATTTTGAGTATCTGTGTAAGGTGGATGATGCTGCATGCATGTTCATTACAAACACATATTCCACACTCACTTCTACCTAAAGTCTAACTAGCATTGTTACCTTATATATTGTTAGGCAATTGAGTACTTGCCTAACAATGGACAGGAAGCTTTATCTATTTCATCCCTTCTATGTGTCACACTCATTCTATGTTTTAATACTTCACTTGGACTTGCATTCTGGGTAGGGTCTTTGGGGCTCTACAGAGAACAAAACTAAGGCAAACAGGCTTTTGCTGCCCTGTGTGGCAAGGCAGAACAAAATAGCTACCCAACTTTTGATGAGTTTCCCAAGGCCTCTACCATGTTACAAAGGTATTTCCCATTATAAGTAAGGTTCATTTATATAGGTGTGCCAAAGGGGTACGATATTTTTATTCCATTGAAGGTATGACAAAACTGTCTACAGCATACTCATAATACTTCTGCGGCTTATAATACTGACCTGAAGGGGTCCAGAACACACAGATATTATTGGTAAAAAAAATTGTTGACATAGAGATTTGAGGGAGCAAAGTGTTGGGTGCAAAGATAGGTGATACAAACACTCACTGTTGGTGGTTACATGTAGTGACTGTTGCCCTCAGCATTCATTATGTGCCACAATAAGTTTTGGAAAAGTTAATAGAACAAAATTGCAGTGAAAGCAAAACTACTTTACATACCATTAGTTGGTATAAGACACAAAGAAGGATACTACTGATTTCAGCAAAACGTGTATCATTAACCATTAGACTTTCTAAGGGAACCTCTATTCTATACAGAGCTATAATTTAAATCATTATTAGTATCATGCAAATTTTTCCTTCACAGCAGGTAACGCACTAAATATCAGGAGTTTATTACTTCATTAGGGAACCATTATAACCTTTGAACACAAAATATGGAATTTAAAGCTAGAATTACAGTTTATTTTCAATAAATGTCTGATTCTTATCTCACTTGCACAAGATGTTTACATCAGCATTAACTAACTGATTTTAATAAGTGAACAGGGTAAGAGATAGAAGTAGTGGGGCAAGC